CCGCCGCTGTTGCCTTGCAGAGGACCGGCCATGTCCGGCTTCGACAGCTTCAACACGGAGTTCTTCCAGACCAGCTACAGCATCGACGACCAGGCGCAGGCCTACGACTACAGCGGCAGGCCGTACAGGTACCCGCTGCGCCCCGCCCCCGCCCCGGCCCTCCCGCGGGGAGCTCCTCGGTGACGGTTCGGTAGCTCCTGGGGCTCTGCGGGTGTTGAGGACAGAGCTGGGGCTCCAGCCAGTGCTGCCCTCGGGAGGCGGGTCCCTGCTGCAGCTGATGCTCTGTACGGGGAGGTGTAAAGCAGCCCTCTGTTAACTGTGCTCTGTGACCCCCCCAATCCCTGCCAGGGCTGGAGGAGGGCTGTGTCCTGAGAAGGGTGACAGTGCTGTGGCGAGGCAGAACTCAGCTGGCACAGGGAGGAGGAGGAGTTCTGGGGTTTCCTTCCTTATATTCCTATTTCTGTAGTTTGGAGGTCTCTGTGATGGGACCTGGCAGGGATTAGAGGCCAGAGTAGCTCATGAGTTTGTTGAGGAGCAGAGGGTAGCTTTGGTTCAGCTGCTTTTTAAAGACAGCAATGCATATTCTCATACATATACAGCTTAGAACAGAAAGCCAGTACAAATTGATTTGTGAGTAAATAGCTGAGAATACATGAAATAAAAACTGAAAATCCCACCCATTTTTACCCCTGCATCATGTCCTTTAGGCAGAGGTCATGACTTATTTAATGGCCATTTTGGGAGGCCTCCCTCTGTGCCATAATGCCCCACACACACACAGAGTGCCAGTGTGGAGTATAAAGCAGCTTTCTGGGTTTTTTACTAAGTTTATTTTTTAAATACAGAGCAGAACAGAGGTGGTGGCATGAAGAATTTCATTCTCTTGCAGTGGGTTTGCCAGTATTCTAAATAGCAAGTTAATGCTGGCATGGGATGGGGTGACACTAATAAACAATGGGCAGTGTTTGAGGGTCCTGCTCTCAGGGTTAGGGTTGGAGTTGTACAGCCAGCTTTCCCTTGGGGAAGGGTCCCTCTCTGAGAGCCCCTGCTGCAGGGAGAGCCTGCTGGTGGGACACTGTGCCCCTCAGGGGCCAGCTGTGGTGTGCAGGTCTGCAGGGTGACCCAGGGCTCCAGCAGCTTGGAGTGAGGCAGGTGCTGAAGCCAGCAGGAGGGCTTGGACCATAAACAGCAGGCTGTGCATTGTCTGCCAGGGCTGGTCCCTTCTCTTGATGGCCTCAGCCTGGAGGGTCTCAGCTGTGGTCCTGCTCCCCAGGCCACTCTCCTGGGTGCTGTGACTGTTGTGTTTTCACAGGAGCCGTGGTGCTGGCCCTGCCCAACAGCAGCATTCCCTGCTGGGAGCACAGCTCCCCACTGCTGCCTGGGCTGAGAAAAGCCATTTCTGCTTTCTGTTAGCATGAATGTTATTTTTTAGAATCCTATTTAATTAAAACCATTCCCATTTCAAACCACAGCTCTCTTTCCTTTTTCCCTTCCCGTGGTGGGGGGGTCATTGGGTGGTTGAACAAAAACGTTAAGTTTGAGAGATAAGATTTTCCTGCTGTTTTACAGGTGTGTAGCAGTAATTCAGCCAGTGATAACACTCACTTCTCCAAGCCCCTGACCTAAAACCAGAGAACACTATCAGTGTGTGTGGCAAGAATTGCCTTGTTTGGCTTGAGCGTGTTGCTGCTGAGGGTCTGAGTGGGTGGCTGTGGCTCTGTGCCTCAGGGGGGCTTTGTAAAAAGATAAAAAAGGACTGTTGGCTGTGACTGAGCAGCCAAAGAGGAGCTTTGCTGTTGCAGGGAGCTGTTTCAGCTGAGTCTGTCTCTGCCCACAAGGTGCTGTGGTTCTTTGCAGGCAGTATGGGGGCTACGAGTACCCCCCTCAGAGCGGGCTGCTCCCCGGGGACATGGTGCAGCAGCAGCAGCCCTACACAGGGCAGATCTACCAGCCCAGCCAGAGCTATGCCTCAGCCTCAGCACAGGCTTTCTATGGAAGTAACTTTGAGGATGAGCCTCCTCTGTTGGAAGGTAGGACTTACACTTTATGGCCCCAATCCAAAACCTCTCCCTTTTTGGGGATAAGTTGAGGAGCAGGGTTTGTATGCACAGCTTCTGAAAGTGCTGGTTGATGTGAAACTCTTAACAGCTTTTTTTTTTTCATTTAGCTGTGTTTGGGTGTATGAAATACTTGTTCTGTGAGCTCCTGCAGTTCAGTCTGTGCTCTGTTACTTCAAACCAGCTGTTCTGTGGAAGACACAACCAAATAAATGGATAACCTGACTTAATGCAGCTCTTAGGACAAAACAGGATTTCCACTATGTCATTGCAAATAACATGCCTGCTTCTTGTGCAACTGCCCACTCCTTGTAAAAGACATCAGGGCAGTTACTTTCAGTTGTTTCTTTGGTTAGAACTGAAGTCTTCCATCACTAAAGAGGAATGCTGACCACTGCAGCAGTTCCTCTGTGGAGCACAGCCTGTGCAGAATGCCAGGAGGGGTGTGTAGTTACTGTCTGGATTAATGAATTCTCTTTCCAGCTTACATTCATCACTGTTTAGTACCAGACAGATGGAGAAACTTACTGTTACTGGTCAGAGAGAGAGATTCCTGACACCTATTGCCTGCATCTGTTCATGATACCTTCCACCCTGTTTTCTTTAAAAAAAATCCCTTCTTTACCTGGATGCATCCCAGGGCCTGAGCTGGGCAAATAGTAACTGGGTTTGTAACTAGAGATGGAGACTGGAAATGGTATCTGGAGGGAGCTGTGAAACTCCTCCTCATGAGACAGAGAGTGTTGAGAGGGGTGGGTGGATGGTTTTTGATGGGCTCAGTGGCTGGTTGATGAGAAGAAATCCACTGAGTTAGAAATCCTTGAGCCACCAGTCGCTGGAGACTTGGGGAACCTGCATGTTTGGTGTAGACTCTGTTGTATGTGTCTGCTTTTGGCCACTGTTGGGGACAGGGTGCTGGGCTAAATGAGCATTTGGGCTGACCCAGAGCACTGTGCTTATGCTCTTACCTGGCTCTTCAGGAACCACCTTGTCACTTTGGGGCATTTCAGACCTGGAGCCTGTGGAGGCAGCACACAGCAGCTTGAGGAAGGAGGGAATGGCTCCATTCTCTGGTCCCCACAGGTGGTGCCTGCAGGAGATTTAAAAGTGGAGAGGCAGAGAAAACCAAGAGTGAAGTTGTCCATGGTGGGGACAGGAAGGGAAGGAATGAAATAGGCATAATTCTTTCCATGCAACTTGCAGAATTGGGGATCAATTTCGACCACATCTGGCAGAAGACACTAACAGTGCTACACCCCTTGAAAGAAGCAGATGGCAGCATCATGAATGAGACTGATTTGGCTGGACCAATGGTCTTCTGTCTGGCTTTTGGAGCCACGTTATTACTGGTAAGATTCTGATTGCAAGATACTACTGATTGTGCTTTAATGTTCTTGGAAACACTGGGGGAAAGGCCAAGTTGCCTCTTGCTTAACTGGAAGTTACTTTTTGGCACAGAGGCCAAAAAAGCCCATTCTGAGCAAGGGTTTAGCTGTGGAAGAGGAGCTGGGGCTTCACTCACCTCTGGCTGGAGTGGGTGAGCTCCCTGCCACCTTGCTTGGTGGAGTTTGAATCCAGGTCTTCGTGCTTGGCTTTTGCATGGCAGTTATTTCAGTGTCATTCCTACTTCTTCTCATCCTCTGCTTTTGGGGAATGTGGGTCCCTTTTGTCACAGGAGTGGGTGTGACCCATGTTCTCAGTTTTATGCCTGCCTGGGGTTCTCTAGAGGTGGAGACATTTTACTTTCAGAACCACACCTTGTCTCTTTGCAGCATCTCTGGTATTTTCTGTCTTACCTTCCTGTCCAGAACAAGGCACACATTAAATATTTGAGTAATCATTTAATTTCTTCATTTAGGAGCTTCATTTTTTTTTTTTTAACTATTACTATGTTGAATGTTTTAGTCTCTCTGTTTTATTTCATTGTATTTCTTTGCTCCATGCTCTTTATTCATTGCTCTTTCCTGCTATTCAAGAGGCAACGAAAATCAAAATTAGGTGTAAAAAGTAATTTCATAAATACTGGTACATTAGGCATGAGTTTGGGTACAAAGAGTCTGTCTGGTAAAACACAAAGTAAATCTGCTTTTTTGTTTATGCTTCCTAATAGGTCAGCAGCTGCTGAAGCCTGTTGGGTTCTTTTAGTGGCACTTCATTGAAACAAAATTGTGGTTTAATGACTCTAAAGTGTCAATTATGAAATGACAGAGTAGCAAACAGTCTTTGTCATTGAAAGCCTTAAGATTTTTTAGTCTTTTTTTTTCCTAAATGTCTTCAGGCACTGCATTTAACTTTTGTCTAAAATTTCACAGTGCTAAGACACTTGGAACAGTGTTTTGGTACCAAGGACACTTTAAGCCTACTTTTATATGTAACCTTTATTTATGGAAACTAGGCCAGTGGAATTAATGGAGGTGTTTGTAACAGATGTATTGGAATGTGCTTGCCCCAAGAAGCTCTCCCCTTGTTCTGAGTGCTTTTTTTTTGTTAAAATACATTGCATGCAGTGAGAGGAAATGAGCTTAGCCTGGCAGAAAGGGTGAGAGCAGGTGGGGTTGGGTTCTGTACTGCTTGGGGAGGAGGAGGAGGGCTGGGGTCTGAGGAGGCTTGGTGTGGGAGGTGCCAGTGGGAGCTCCAGGGGTGTGCCCAGCCCGAGGTGGGGGTGGGAGGGGAAGCATCCATCCTATCACTGGAAAAACAATGACAGGATGGGTATGTGCCTTCTGAAGTAACACGTGGGTGCTTCCTGCACGCCTGTCAGGGAGCCAGGCTCTGATTCTGACCCTTTCCCCATTGGGGTGTGGTGCTGTGCAGCTCAGCCTCACTGCCTGGGGGGCATTCTGCTCAGTTACACTGGGGGAGTCTGTCACAAACCAAAGGGCTTCAGCCCTAGATTTGTCAAGGAGTTCCTGGAGTACAATTTTTTGGTTGTTATGTGCTAGTTCTGTAAAGATTCTTATTGCAAGTACTCAGTTGGCAGGAGAAGTTAGTTGATTAAACCCTAAAGAATTCAGAGGCTTTTGCAGCCTGGCTACAAGAGTAACAATTCCATCAAAATCTGTTTGTCAGGGCAGGGAAAGTGAGGAGAAATGTGCCTCTGGGGTGTCTAGAATATACAGGGGTCCTGCCTTCCAGCTGGGGGAGGATGCTGCCTGCTGAGTGTGAGGGTAGGGACTGGAGGTGGGGGGCAGTGGGGGGAATGAAGACACTCTGCAAACCTCCTCCTCTTTCCCCCTTCTTCGTGGGGGTTGTTCCCCATCCTGGCAGCTGATGGGAGGTGCTGTGCTTCACTTCCAGGCTGGGAAGATTCAGTTTGGTTACGTGTATGGGATAAGTGCAATTGGCTGCCTGGGGATGTTTTGCCTCCTGAACTTGATGAGCATGACAGGAGTGTCCTTTGGCTGCGTGGCCAGCGTGCTGGGGTACTGCCTGCTCCCCATGATCCTGCTCTCCACCTTCGCCATCGTCTTCTCCTTGCAGTGAGTACACAACCACCAGCCCTTGGCAACACCTTCCTCTCCTGGGAGGTGGGGAGACAAGTTATCAAAGGGAATTTCCATATTCAGTGATGAAGCTGTATGTAACCTGAATGTGACAGGAATTTGTAGCAAGTGTAAAAACAAATATCAGCAGTCTCCAAGTATTTACTGAGTGAAAGAGAGGTGAACACTGGTTTTATCACTTAGGCCATTAACACCTTTTAAATACATAGACTGGAACAATAATATCAGGTTTGGTTTTAGTGAACTTTGAATCCAACAAATCTCAACACCTGTAAAATCTAAAAGTAATTATAATTTAAGATGCAAGTTTGAATTTGGGAAGCAGAAGAAAATCAGTGTTTACTGAATAGAGAGAACTTCATACAGTTACTTTACTCCCTACTCATGTGTTTCGTATGTACAAAGTTAGTTTGTTGGGGTTTTTTTAATGCTGTCATAATTGAATAATATTGTTCTGAAATCTTTATTGGGACTGTTTCATTTCATGTCAAATATAACAGCTAAAATCAGTCATGAAATCTGTAAAAGGTGTTAGGAGGAGTCCAGTTACAGCTCCTATAAGCACATACACATGAATCTGACATGAATTCTGTTTTTATTCCTCTCTTTACAGGGGAATGGTGGGGATTATTCTCACGGCTGGAGTCATTGGCTGGTGCAGCTTTTCTGCTTCCAAAATCTTCATTTCTGCCTTAGCAATGGAAGGACAACAACTTCTAGTAGCATACCCCTGTGCTTTACTGTATGGAGTCTTTGCTCTCATCTCTGTGTTTTGAACAGACTGTCCAAACTGTTGGACTTCAGTGGGCCAAAATAAAAACATCAGCTTGGAACGTGGAGTTGGACCAGAAACAGCTGCAGACAACTGTATAGTGTTGCTATCTCGAAACCTAGACCTGTTTTGGATCCAAAACAATGAAAAAAATGTCTTGTGTTCACTTTTTTTAGGACTTTGAATACTCTTTTCAATTGACCTGAGGTGTCTATAGCTTTAATAAGTGTCTGTGATTATAAAGTTAATGGAATTTCTTTCCCATTCCTCTACGTTTAGAAAAGTAACTTTTGGTTGCTTATTTGAAGGTTGCATTTTTTTGTTTGTTATTTGTTTTTTTGGGGTTTGTGTTTTATTTTGTTTCTTAGGGGACAGAGGGAGGGAGAAGGGTTGCAGTTATAAATTTGTAGGTTTTTATCCAAAAAAGTTCAGAGAACTGCCAGTGCCGTGGACTTGGGGAACTCTGAATAAATCTGCAGTAATAAGGAACCTCTTTCTTGTCCCCTCTTACCAAAAGCAAAATGCACAAATGAACACAAGCAATTAGAGAAACTTCCATCAAAAATCCTTTTAAAGTCTTTGGTCTCATTTGTTCATTGGATGTGATAGTATTCCAAGATTTAAGATACTTCAGTTATGAATTAGAAAACTGATGCTTAAAAGTTAAAGGGATCTGTAATTCTGTCACACCTGAGGTATGAACACATTTGGATGTCTGAGGAGCTCTAAGTTAACTTGGATTTCTGAAGATGACTTCAACTAGAGTTTCTTTTCCTAATGGTGCACACATGAGTAGATGAAGAGTAATCTTTTTTTGCAGTACTTCCAAGAAAAACACCATTTTGAAAATGTTATGCTTGTCAGTATTGTAGTTACTGTAAAATAATTTAAGGCATATTGATTAAATTTTCCTTGAATTTTGAAAAAAGTGTTGGATTTTTCTAATCTTTTTGTTACTAAAATAGAAACTTCAATACTGAAGCAAAATGGTATTTCAGACTGTGTTGGGTTAGTAGATTTGGGACTTGTATTTGTGACCAAAACATGACAAGTGTCATCTAGTTTGTGATGTCAGTCACAGGGAGACTTACAGGCATCAGAAGTGAGAAACCAGAAATGGTTGTTCCTCAGGTAGGCACTTGGTAATTCTTAAAATAAGCAAGACCATAACTTGGTTTGTAACTCCTGTTCCTCCAGCAGTTTGGTGCAGGGGATTTCATTGTGTGGGACTTGCCCCAGGTGCTGGTCTGACACTCCTCTGTCCTGCCCATGGCCCAGCTCACAGACCTGAGGGGCTGACTCTGGTCAGTTGTGTTGCAGTAGCACTTGGTGTGTGGGTGTCTCCAGAGGAAAGTTCTCACCTTACTGGCACATGATGAATGATTTCAAAGGCTCAGCACACATTTTTGTACACCCTTCCCTTAGTTCTGCATGTTCTCCTAAAAATATCTTCCTAGTGCCACTAGAAGCTACTGACAAGGTCTTTCTCTGGTGGCCAGAGCCAGGTTTTGCTTGGGTCACTGGGAGTGGTGGGAGGGGTTGGGAGAGTGTAAATGCTTCAGGAACCAGTGATCACAGAGCTGGTGTGATGTGTCCCATGCTGTAACCAGCTGCTACAGGCAGTTTCACCTCATGCATAACCTTCATTTTCCTTTCAGAAGCAAATTTAAGAGCTGGGATAATTTCTAATTGGATACATTTTTATTTAGGATAATTTGTAATAGTGGTGAGCTGATTTTATTAGCAAAATGTTTCACTCTGTGCTGGGTAGTTCTGATGTCCTTGGATTAGGAGACCTGGCACACTAGGTCTTACTCCTTTTAATGAAGGAACATTACCTGCTGCTGGAGCAGGATGTCCTGTATTTGTGCAAATAAATCACTGATTACTAATGAGGCCTAATTAGTTACAGAGTTGTTCTAGTTGGTATGAAAGCTCCCACACTTTCCCAAGCACCTCAGGCTCTAACTCCCATCCAGTATTTCTGTGGAGGGGGCTAACTGAGCTCCCCTGGCCTGTAGGAACGTGGCTCATTGAAGCTTGTGCTGATTCTGTAGGGTGATGACTTATGTGCTAAACTGTTGTAAATAACCACAGCACAAGCAAACCAAGTGCACAGGAAAAATGTTAAAATGAGCTGATCTTGCTGTGAGCAGATGGATACATACATGCACAGAGCCCTTCCTCTGGCAGCAGGGGATCCTGGGCACTCTGTTTGGGCACTGAGGTCTGAGCTGTGAGCTTCAGGAGCTGTGTGTGTTCCTCAGCTCAGTGTGGAGGATCTAGCAGTGAGTTTCTAACTGGTCACTTGGGGGCAGGAGAGAAGCAGAGGGGAATAAAAGGTCAAACACCTGAATTCACAGAGGTTTTTATAATCACAACGAGATGTCTAGACTGGTAGTCTTAAATATCCCAAATTTGTTACATTAATTAATGAGCTTCCACCGACTGAGTTTATTGCCTTTCTAAAATCAATGCCATTGATTTTCTTTAATAGTGTTTTGTCCTAGAGCTTGGCTCAATTTTAGTTACATTTCAGAGGATTTAATCTCGCCATCACTTGGCATGACAAGGTTGTGTGCTTTAATTCTGGACTCCTACACTTGCCTATTTAGTAGCACTTTTTGCTTTTTACTTTCTGAAGCTGAATTCTTCCCCCACAGTCTGTTAACATCAATATTCTCATGTAGTTTCCAGATGAAATACTAGCATTGATTGCTTCCATCCCACGTTGTCTCCTGACATTGTCATGTTACTCACCTCAAAGCATTCAAAGATGAATGCTGGTGTTGCTTTTTTAAAACAACTTTTGTTATCCCACCCAGTTGTGAAATTACTTCCAATCCTACAAAAGTTAAAAGTTGCCTTGCCCAGTTTGTCCATTTCTTGTCCCAATTTGTTGATGTTTTGCCAGTGACTTTGTTTTTTAGGTCACTTTTTAGGTGTGTCTTGCTCGGAGGCAGCTGCTGACTGCAGTTCAGGGTTTTTTTCTGGTAGTTCAGGCAGTATTTCTGTAAGTACCAGCAGATTTCATGGCCCCTGCTTTCCTAAAAATCCTGGTTTTTTTCTGTACTCTCATGCTGTTCAGCTGTATGCTGGTGCTGAGGGGCTGTTTCTTCTCTAGGGGTGGGTGAATGCATTCAGAAGCCACAAAGAGCAGGAAGGAGCTGGGACTCGAGGGGCTGATGGGTGCAGTGGGGTGTGGGCTCCATGGTGGGAAGCCCAGGCTGGGACACAGCCCAGGAGCTGTCGGTGGGAGGGAGACACTCACTAAAGCACCAACATCCATTGATTCCTATCAGCACCACTCTAGAGCTGTGGCAGTGTTCTTAGGAACAACGTTGCCTAAAAACAGCCAGTGCTGTGGGGTGTAGCACCCAACCTGTAGCTATAGGGGTTGTGCCAGGGGAGGCTTAGGTTGGATATTAAGAAAAGTTTCTTTCCCAAAAGGGTTGCCCAGGGCTGTGCCAGGCTGCCCAGGGCAGTGGTGGAGTCCCCACCCCTGGAGGGGTTTCCAAGCTGTGGAGATGTGGTGTGAGGGACACGGGGCAGTGGGGACCTGGCAGGGATGGGGGAAGGGTTGGACTCAGTGAGTTTAAAGGTCTCCTCTGCAACCACAGTGATGCTGTGATTCTGTGAAATAGAGACAATGCTAATGTTTGGACTTGATGATTTTAGAGGTCTCTTCCAATCCACCAAAGGTGACTCTACCCCATGGAAGAGTCTTTTGCAGAAGTCTGTGAAAGAGAGAGCATCCTTTCACCCTGATTTACCTGGCCAAGCTTGCAGCCTCTGTGTCCTCACTGAGGTGCTTTGGAGTGTCTGTTCTGACTATTACACACAGCATTAAAAAACAGGACTGGAGCACTGGGGCTTGTCGTTTGCTGCTTCTCCACTGGGTGGGCCTGCAGCATGTCTGATGTGCTGCCTGACGTTTCCCACCAGCTTTCTTTCACGTTACCAGGAAGTGTCTTTGTCTTCTCTGTGCATTCTAACAGCACACAATTCTTTTTCTCTGGGTAATTCACTCCTTTTCCACCTCTTGGGTGGTACAGACAGACCAGCCCTTCCCCAGTGCTGATCACATCAGGTCATGGCACTCTTGGTACCTTTTCTGTGTAAGCTGACACATCCTGCCCTGGCTATACTTTCCAAATTTAGTTAAATAGTATCCCTCTCAGAATTAAAACAATTTTATGTACACAATCTGCGGGATTAGAAGAGTTTTTAAATCATTTTTTCTTGTTTGTGTGTTGCAAGGCCTAATATGTCAAAATGAGAGGATCTCAGATTATTGTGCTGATCCAGGAGCCTCCTGTGCCCTGGGGTGGG